GGTCTCTTGCCACCACAAAGGCCGCGTTTATAAATCAGCAGTAAGTGCTACAAGTAAAGCAGAAGAAAACATCAGTGACTTTCAAACTGTTCCTGCTTTAGTCCCCAAAGTGTATTTTTTGCCCTTTGGGCTGAGGTGGGTGGATAGGGAACTCTGCCTCATTTGCTTTCCTGAAACCTGTTGGAAGTACAAGCGAGGCGGCTGCGTGATTTGTGTGTGCGTGCAAAGAGGGCCATCTGAATTGTAAATAGCACCTGCTAAATTATTATTAAGTGAAAGCTGACGTGGGAGGAGTTCTCAGGGAAAAAAAAAACCCTCAAGTCTTTTAATAAAAGTCATTCAGGCTGTTTTAACATTGTCCCCTGTCTGCACGCTACATACTTCAGCTCATGTGGATGCTGCGGGGAGTTACGCGAGTCGTATCAAGGACAGGGGAGGCCCCATTAAATCCAGTTACTGTCAGTTGTGTGAGAGCTTTAAATGGCTGTACTAAGACTCGTTATTAAAGAAAGGAACTATCAATTTTATTTAATGCATGGTGCCCAGCCTTGATTCTGCTCCCAGCCCAGAGACTTGCCGTGCGCAGGGGTGATATAAAAATCCGAGCTGTACTCTTCAGGGCTTGTATTTAGCTGTAGCAGGGTCCTGGCTGCAGCCTGGCTGGCTGATTGGGGCTGTGGGAGGCTGCCCTGCACCCCTGCCAAGGCAGGGACCAAGCTTGAGCTCAGCCCGTGTTTCCACTTGCCTTAGTCCAGAGAAAGCTTTAGTGTAGGCGGGGCTGCTGAGCTGGGCTTCAGGTGAGCAGGAGTGCTCGGTGGGCACAGCTGCTCTTCCTGAGCATCCTCAGCCCCATCCTGAGCATCCTCAGCCCCTCCGCTCCCGGCGGGGAGTGAAAAGGTGGGGAGCAGGGTGCCAGCCTTGGGCCGCACAGAGCGTGGCATCTGCTGGGATCTGCTAGCGAAGTGGGGCAGCAGGAGAGGCCCAGCCTCACACAGGAGGTTTCTTGGCAGACCTGTGAGCGGGAGTTTAAGAGGACTTTTCCCAAGCAGAGCAGCCTGTTTTCCATCCCTCCGTGGCTTATGGCCCCTCCGTCTTTCCAAGACCCCAGGGGTGAGGATGCTCCCCGCGAGCATCCCCACTGGCTCTGGGGGTTGCTCAGGGGGCATCGCTGTTGCAGGGCTTGGCTGCCATGGATCGCCCCATTACTGCTGGCTTGTTTCTTCATGGGCATCGTGGCAAGCTATTGTCGGCCTGTGTAATCAAAACGCTGAAGCTGCAAATCATATTACAGGCCATAATGAGGAATTTGATCCCTGTGACAGACTGGCCAACTGTTATTCGCATTTATTACTATTTCTGCCATTGCCATGGAGTAAAGATCCTTTTCGCAAAAAAGAACATGCCACCAGCACAGTCTGATAGTGTCCTTGGGAAATTTAGGGTTGTGTTTTTCTCACATTAGCTGCACAGGCAAATTTGCAATAAAAATGACTTTGCTGCAGAAGCCTTCTTTTCCCATCACCAAGCTGTCAATCAGCCTGTAATTTCTTGGTATCGGACTATGCTGAAGAGCTGGCTGAGTTATTCTCCTTCTAATGTGTGCCCCTAAAACCTCAAATGTGAGAAAATAATTTTGGATGGAAGGAAGAAGATTTCATGCTTCTTTTTTTCAGGGGAAAAAAAAATATTTCTCCTGCGATGAGATGCTACCTCTGAGGAGGGTGGAAGTGGCATGAGAGGAGTCTAAAGTCCTCCCTTTAGCCACAAGACAGCCCTGCTTCCTCCACTCCCTCCGTTTTTGGGCTACCAGGGTGGGTCAGTGTTTGTCCCCTGTTCCTGTCCCCCTGCTGAGGCTGCCAGCAGCGTTGCAGGGACAGCAAGGGGCTGGTTGTTGATATGGAAACCGGTCCCTAACAACAACTCGCTTCACCGAGGGGCACAGGCAGCCGTCTGACGTTGACAACGCTGAGTGACTGCCGACCTTGTTTTTAGTGTCAGCTGATATCAAGCTGGAGCCCTGCCAGTTTGCACCAGTTGAAAGTCTGTCTCGTAATGGTGGCGATTATCCTGATTTTTACAGCGGCGCTGAGAAAGTTGCAGCTGCTGTGCTTCGTGTCCCTGACTTTAATTTGGGGTGCCTGGGTCTGCTGGTGTTACCTTTAGAGAAGCGCGTGAGAAGAACTTCTATCTGTGCTCTGCGTCAGTCGTTTTTTCTCCCTTTTTATTTTGTATGAAGAGATATTGCTCAAGCGCACCATGGAATGAAAGCCATAAAGCTATAAATTACACCTCTGCTAGGCCCACAATATGTTACCAATTACACCTGCTTTATTATTCGCGTCCAGGGGGAAAACATACATCAAACCAACCCCACTCTTCAGGCAGGTCGGTGCTGTGCTAGAAGGAACACCGTGACTCTGCTTCATCAGTGGAAAAACAAACACGGTTTCGGCTCACTCGCGTACGATATTTGTGTCTGGCGTGACAAGCTGAGTGATACCGCTGCGGTTCTCCGAGCTCGCCGCGTGCCACGTGCTGTGGCACTCGCGGCAACGTCATCGCCCCGCGGAAAGGAGAGAGGAGAGGAAGCACTCAGAGGGGCAGGGAGCTGAGGACCCAGTCGCAGGGACCTCGGAACTTGCTGCCAAGGAGGTTGGGGGGGTTGGAGTTAACACGAATGGCAGCCAACAGCATCAGAAATCTCATTAAAGCCAGGGGTCACGTCTGCAGAGGAGAACACGCTGCGGTTTGCAGGGCTTCGTTGCTAGAGTGGGGTTAGCGGGGTTCTGCTTGGCATGTTCCAGTAGACGGCGAGGGTTTCCCCGCATGTCCTGGTAGGGGTTTTCTTCTGCGTCTGTCTGCCCTGTCTTCAGAAATTCGTCACTGGGGCAGGGATGAAGGTGGGGGTGTTGAAGCAAACCGGTGTGGTTGCTTTGCCAGTTACGTGCGTGTAGCTGCGCACGGTGGTTTTTGGCTTGCCCGCAGTGCCCCTCTGCTGAGCAGCTCCTGGGCTTTGGGCTGCTGGGAATTAACTGGAAAATGGGTGTGTTTAGGTGTGCTTGCTTGACCATGCTACTCAGCTTTGGAGTGTGGAGTAGCATTAGTATTTTTCTATGTGGGTGTGTATATTTATGCATGCATGCGTGTCAGTGTGTGTGGGCACATACGAGCTCCAGAAGATCTTCGAAGAGCAAGACGGACTAGCGGAGAGTGGATTTCTTTTAGGAAGGGGACCCGCGCGTTGCTCACAGGTCTCCACATGAAGAACTCATCCATGTGCGCTGCAGAGTTTGTTGTGGTTTTGTCACTGAAGCGTTTGTTCAGCTTCAAACTTTTTAAAGTTGAAAACAAGTCAAGGTTATGTTTGCGCTTAATAATTCAGCAACGATGCCAGCTCAGCATATTGTCTTTTTCTTCCCTAGTCATTCTGTTTTATTGAAGAGAAACACTGCCGACAGACAGAGGGGTGAAGGAGGCTGTGCCTTTCTGCGTTAACTCCCGCCAGGCACGGCCTCCTTCCCCGGGGATCCCCCCAGATTCATGCCGTTCACAGTACCTTTGCCCCAGCGGTGCCATGCCTAGCCTGGACAGGGAAAGCTGGCAGCAGGTCAGGACTTAGATATCCTCTTCTCTGCAGACGTCTTTTTTTCTGAATAGGAGCATTTTCTGTTTTGGTGGAATATTGCTCAGAATCCTTCAGTAAATCTGCTTCAGTGATACTTTGTTTTCGCTTTGGGTGTGAGGGTGCGGGTTTCTATTTTTGTTTGTTTGGTGAGTTTTTTTTCAATAAAGATGTAGAAGATCATTAACTCTTCTAGAACCAAAGAAGTTTGCAGTAGAATAGGTTTTTGTCTCTTCTTAAAAAGCAAAGTTACATTAGGACCTAGTTCTGCCTCATGCTAGTGGGTACGTTGCTTCATTAACAATGCTGGTCATTACCAGGGGATCTGCTTTCCAGTGATGATATTGTCACTGTCAATAAGAATAGATCAACACAATATTATAAATCTGGAAGAACTGAGAGCACGCAGTGACGCTCATGTTGTGTAACTCCCATCTCCAGTGTCCCTGAGCACAAACCAGCATTGTGCACCATTCTCACACGAAGACTGGGCAAGCCACCTGAGACATCATCTGTTGCTGCTGTCCTGGCTCCGCAACTTCGTCCGCACACCTCCATTTTGTCACGGTGCATCATCTCCTGGTCCCATCCTGGCTCTCTGCGGGCCAGAAGTTACACAGTGGTTTTATGGGAATAAACGGAGGGCTGAAGTCAGATTTCCCAAAACTGTTTAATAGGATGAGCCCAAGGATTTGAGATTTGGCTTCCACAGTCAGAATGCTTTGCAGGATTTGACATGGGTTCTTCATGAGAGCTAGATATAAGCCTGGAGACAGTGGGAATAGGAGTCTCTTTGGGCAGGGGAAGTAAAAATAACATTTACATTCCTTGTATTAAAAAAGGGAAGAGGGAGAGCAAGAGAGCAGGAATCTTGGTTGTTAGTACAGTTAATTTCACAAGGGTGTGTAGTGATAGGACAAGGGGGAACGGCTTTAAACTAACAGAGGGCAGATTTAGATATTAGGAAGAAATTCTTCACCATGAGGGTGGTGAGGCACTGGCACAGGTTGCCCAGGGAAGCTGTGGCTGCCCCCTCCCTGGCAGTGCTCAAGGCCAGGTTGGATGGAGCTCTGAGAAACCTGGTCTGGTGGAAGGTGTCCCTGCCCATGGCAGGGGGGTTGGAACCAGATGATCTTTGAGGTCCCTTTCAACCCTTACCATTCTGTGATTCTATGATTCTATGATAATGATTTATTTTAAAGCATAGTGTTTTAGTTGTGTTGAATACGTATTTTCTGGAAGGACTCGATTTTTGTGTGCATGCGTGTGGTGTGTCTGAAGTCTGTATCCCACTTTCCCTTCCTGCTGCTGAACAAATGACAAAAGCTGGGGAAGGCATGTTAACACTCTTGTTTCACTCTGATGTTGTATTGCAGGTATGGCCTCGCATGTGCAGGTTTTCTCTCCTCACACCCTTCAGTCAAGTGCCTTCTGTAGCGTGAAGAAACTGAAAGTGGAGCCGAGTTCAAACTGGGATATGACTGGGTACGGCACACACAGCAAAGTCTACAGCCAGAGCAAGAACGTGCAGTCCTCCCAAGCAGCCGCCGCAGCAGCCGTCAACGCCTCCCTCCAGATCCCCAATCCAAGCATCCCTTACGAACAGACCATCATCTTCCCAGCAAGCACGGGGCACATCGTGGTGACGTCCGCCAACAGCACGTCTGGTGTGGTTGCAGTGTCTGGGCAAACACTGGGCGGGCCACACAACCTGATGCGTCGCAGCACTGTGAGCCTTCTGGACACCTACCAAAAATGTGGACTTAAGCGTAAGAGTGAGGAGATCGAGAACACAAGCAGCGTGCAGATCATCGAAGAGCATCCACCAATGATTCAGAACAATGCCAGTGGGGCCACTGTAGCCACTGCCACCACCTCCACGGCCACCTCCAAAAACAGTGGCTCCAACAGCGAAGGGGATTACCAGCTGGTGCAACATGAGGTGCTCTGTTCCATGACCAACACCTACGAAGTGTTAGAGTTTCTCGGCCGTGGAACCTTCGGACAAGTAGTCAAATGCTGGAAACGTGGCACTAATGAGATTGTGGCCATAAAGATCCTAAAGAACCATCCTTCCTATGCCCGGCAAGGCCAGATTGAAGTGAGCATCCTGGCTCGGCTGAGCACAGAAAGTGCGGATGACTACAACTTTGTCCGCGCATACGAGTGCTTCCAGCACAAGAATCACACGTGCTTGGTGTTTGAAATGTTGGAGCAGAACCTCTATGATTTCCTAAAACAAAACAAATTCAGTCCTTTGCCCCTTAAGTACATTCGACCAATTCTCCAGCAGGTAGCAACGGCCCTAATGAAGCTGAAAAGCCTGGGACTGATTCATGCTGATCTCAAACCAGAGAACATCATGTTGGTAGACCCATCCCGACAGCCATATAGGGTCAAGGTCATAGACTTTGGTTCGGCTAGCCATGTGTCTAAAGCTGTGTGTTCTACCTACCTTCAATCCAGATATTACAGGTAAGAGACTGAGCTCATGTAACGTTACTTGGAGAAGTATGTTTCCTATGGAAATTTTCCTACATTCCTGTAAATGAATGAGAGTCATCCCTTAATCCTAAACTGGGATGGCGCTTAAAATGGTTTATTGGTGATACAATGATGGTATCCTAACCTCATGGAGTTTACTTGCATTGAAAACCATTGTAAATTTGTAGATAACCATAAAATGTTGTAAAAACAGTTTGCCAGTTACAGTTTTGAAAGCCTTTCACCTCTGCCAGTACGTTGTTCTCTCTGGGACTGTTTCCAGAAGAGGCAGTGGATCTGGAGAGACCACATTTCCTTTCCAAATCAATGCAAGTAGGTTCTTGGTTTCAGAAAGACCTTAACCTAAACAATCGATCCATATTTCAGCTGTGCCTTCCAGTCTTTATTCTTATGTGAAACCAGGGACTTTACAAGAACAAGGTTGGCCCACAGGAACACTATATGGATGCGAAAGATGCTTTGTCATGGAGTAGTTTTTGCACAGGCTGTGGAGCTTGCTAGTGTCAAGGGGAGTATTCTGGCTGTGTCCTGCTGACTCTGCTCCAGGTGAGCAGGTGGCCTGGCCGGGCTGGAAACACCTTTCTCCACGTGGGAAGCTGTTGGTAGGGATGGATGAGTATTGCCAGTAATTTGGTGTTGGACTGAGGACCTGTCGTGGACAGTCGATTCCTACTCATGGTGCTTTTAACTACAGGTGTGTTATGTGCTAGAACGAAGTTCAGAGCTCTGTGTAGGTGTGCCTGAAGCGAAATGTGTAAACCAGCTACATCCCTCGTCAGTCTGTTGAACAGTTTCAGCAAAGCAGCCTCTCTTCATAACCCATGGCGGGTCATCCTCTCCCTCTGTCTTGACTCCAAGACACAAAGTCTCTCTGTAGATCTTCTCCTCAGACCCTCTTTGGTACCAGTTAGCTTGATTCAACATCCCGAGGAGCAAGAAAAACAATTCTATTGCTACCTCAGGGGTGGGGGAAAATGGGGGGGGTGCAGGGAGGGAAAGGGAATTTGTCTTTAGATGACAGCTGAGTTTAGAAATGTTCAGGCCATGTTTTTGTTGTTGTAATTCTGTGAAGCAGGGGCAAAGAGGGAAAATGTGATCCTGCTTGATGACTGATTTAATGAAAATCAGTCCTGGCAGCATCCACAGCTCATCAGATGGGTTACAGAAAAGCAGGGTAGTTGCTCTGTTTGTAGATAGGGAAGAAATCTGTCTTATACATGGGGAGGACTGGGGACAAAAAAACAACATGAGTTGATTACGAACCCTTTTCCTACTTCATAAACATCACAGTGGCAAAGCCCACCTGAGCTCTGAGCTTGGGAAGAGTTAATTTTCACAGGAACAGGAACTTTGGCAGTGTAGCACCACAGCAACTGATTTTTATCTGCTTGTCCTTTGATCTGAAGGAGGCCAGGAAAAAATCCCCAAGCCTAGTTTATACCTCAGAAGAGGCTTATTAAATGAAATATTCTACCTGATGACAGTCCCATCCTCCAGGAGAGACATGTTTCTGTGGTAAATATGCAAAAGCTTTTAGGGTTGCAATTACCTGGCAGACTAGATGAAAAAAAAAAAAAGCTAATACAGGCATTTTGTTGTTATCTGTGATTCTGCATTAGCAGCCTAAGTCCCTAGCTGAAAGACAGAAGGGGCAGCCAAAATGAAATATGTGACAGAAAGCAGAAATGAAAGAGAAAAATGGTTCATTCTCAGTGACAAACAAGGAATATTTTTGTGGCAGTCTCTGGGGAGGAGAAGGCTTGATAAAATTTGCTTTTTATATTTTAAATGCTATTCCTGCCCGGTCTGAAGTTGCAGCTTGTTAGATAATAAGTTTTGTCTGTCTAATTCCTCCCTTGTTTTGCATGCCTGAATTGATGGGAGGAGGGCAAAAGGGGCAGCAGCTCACAGGGGAAGAAGAAAAAAAAAAAAAAGAAAAATCTCATTGGGTTGAATTACATCAGCAGGGGGCTGCTGATGAAGCTAAATTCAAGTCATGAGGAAAATTTACATTCTTCTTCATTTTCTGATGGGGAATAATACAGTACAGAGTAAAGACCCATTCCAAAGAGAAGGAAGTTTCATGCTAGGGGAAACACTGGGCTTTATAAAGATTTCATGCGTCTTCCATTTAATTTACACTTGTTGTGCTTGCTAAAGTATAAAAGACAAGGGGATGACTTCAAGAAATGGCACTTTTAAGCTGAATATGAAGGAAGAGCTTCCTCGGAGTAAAACCTCTCGGGCTGTAAGCAGGCATGCCAGAGAAGTGACAGGAGCCCTGTGCCGCATGCACTTGCGGAAAGACGAGGCAGAGCGCTGGGGTTGGCTCTTGGCTCCAGGTTTTTTATCATGGGCTTTTGGGAGCAAATTCCCAGATTGTCCCCATATTTTATTAGCAGGTCGCTTTTTCTTTTTCCTCGTTTTTTTTTTTTTTGGCTTAACACTACTCTGAAGAACGTGATGGCCAAATCCTTTCAAGTGAGGAAAGTTGTGTGGGCTCCTGCTCATTCTCAG